TCACAGCCCTTTGTCTCCTGTTTCTAAGCCCACCCCTCTCCCCCTTCTCATCGACGGTCAACCAGCGTACACGGTGAGGTGTCTCCTGAAGGTTTGACCTCGGGGCAGGGGATTCCAGTACCTGGTTGACTGGGATGGTTATGGCCCGGAGGAGAGGTGCTGGGTCCCCGCTAGGGACATCCTGGTCCCAGGCCTCATCGCTGAGTTTCAACGCCGGCATCCCAGTCAACCAGGTATGCGCCCAGGTAGGACGCCAGGTGGCACCCCTAGGGGGGGTTACTGTCACACCCTGATCTGTTTCACCTGTCTTTGTGATTGTCTCCACTCCCCTCCAGGTGTCGCCCATCTTCCCCAGTGTATTTATACCTGTGTTCTCTGTTTGTCTGTTGCCAGTTCATATTTTTTCGTCAAGCCTACCATCGTTTTTCCCCTTGCTCCTGTCTTTCTCTAGTTCCTGTTTTGTAGTTTCCTTGGTTTTGACCATTCTGCCTGCCCTGACCCTGAGCCTGCCTGCCGTTCTGTACCTTTTGAACTCTGATTTGGATTACTGACCTCTGCCTGTCCTTGATCTGTCATTTGCCTGCCCCCTGTTTTTGTAATACATTTTTGTTACTTCGACACTGTCTCTATCCTGAAACTTGATACTACACTTAAATTGCCCTTGCGTAACGATTGTGTCTGAAGCCGAGCTTGCAACTCGGGTATTCTCACCATAAGGTGATATTTCTCCTGTATATTAAGAGTATAGCGACTGCAATTAGAAGGCATAATGTTACTTAGGTTTTTTATATTCATTTATTATAATTTTTTTGGGTGGGGGAGGTTCTGCAGATCTAAGTCCAGATAAAGCATCCGGAGTGAAAAAGTTGAATTCAAAAAGTTGTGTGAGGACAACTAAGACCTTGGCAAACAGTTTGATTAAATAGTTATTAAGAGTGAAGTGGAAACTTCTAGGAGCAACAACGGCTCAGATGCGAAGTGAGCCGTTGTTGCTCACAGAATGGGGCCGCACCAGTGCTGAAGCGCTAGTGTGTAAAAATCGTCTGTCCTCAGTTGCAACACTCACTACTGATGTTCCAAACTGCCTCTGAAAGCAACATCAGCACAATAACTCTTCGTCGGGAGCTTCATGAAATGGGTTTCCAGGGCCTAGCAGCCACACACAAGCCTAAGATCACCATGCGCAATACCAAGCATCGGCTGGAGTGGTGTAAAGCTCGCCGCCATTGCAGTGGAAACGCATTCTCTGGAGTGATGAATCACGTTTCACCATCTGGCAGTCTGACGGACGAATCTGGGTTTGGCAGATACCAGGAGAACGTTACCTGCCCCAATGCATAGTGGCAACTGTAGAGTTCGGTGGAGGAGGAATAATGGTCTAAGGCTGTTTTTCATGGTTCAGGCCAGGCCCCTTAGTTCCAGTGAAGGGAAATCTTAACTCTACAACAGACAATGACATTCTAGACGATTCTGTGCTTTTAATTTTGTGGCAACAGTTTGGGGAAGGACCTTTCCTGTTTCAGCATGACAACGCCCCCGTGCACAAAGCGTGGTCCATATAGAAATGGTTTGTCGAGATCGGTGTGGTAGAACTTGACTGGCCTGCACAGAGCCTTGACTTCAACCCCATCAAACACCTTTGGGATGAATTGGAACGCCAACTGCGAGCCAGGCCTAATCACCCAACATCAGTGCCCGACCTCAATAATGCTCTTGTGGCTAAATGGAAGCAAGTCCCCGCAGCATTGTTCCAACATCTAGCGAAAAGCCTTCCCAGAAGAGTGGAGGCTGTTATAGCAGCAAAGGGGGGACCAACTCCATATTAATGTCCATGATTTTGTAAAGACATGTTCGACAAGCACCAAAAATCTGAACTCATCATGAGGGGCCGCAGTTGCTCGCTTCATCATGAGGGGCGCGCAATTGGCCCAGCGTCGTCCAGGGTAGGGAAGGGAATGGCCGGCAGGGATGTAGCTCAGTTGATAGAGCATGGCGTTTGCAACGCCAGGGTTGTGGGTTCGATTCCCACAGGGGGTATGACATTTTTTTAATGTATGCACTAACTGTAAGTCGCTCTGGATAAGAGCATCTGCTAAATGACTTAAATGTAAATGTATATCAGGGTTTCCCAAACTCGGTCCCCGGGACCCCTAGGGGTGCACGTTTTGGTGTTTGCCCTAACAATACACAGCTGATCCAAATAATCAACCAAGCTTTGTAGTGTTAGGGAAAAAAACAAAACGTGGGCCCCAGTGGCAGAGTTTAGAAAACGCTGGTGAATATGGAAGCATTCACATATCACACTACAATGTGTAGCTAGGTGCAGAGTAAATGGTTCTAATTGCAGTTGCGTGAGCAGCAGCAGCTGCTACTGTTGGGGCTGATTGTCCAGCCAATAACACACTTGATTGACCAATGAATCTCAGCTGGGCTCTATTAGCCTCCTAACTGGGAAGCTTCTGGAAGGGCGTGGTAGGAGCGTTGGCCCTTTACAGCACCACAACCCTTAAGAGGATAATTAAAAAACATTCTAGTGCTTAAGTTAGTCATTACTGGGGCCCGGCACAAACATTTTTCACCGGAACTCATAAAAAGGGAAACAGTCCAAAAGTAAGTTATATATATTGGTCTAGTTTTGACAACTTCCTGTTCATCATATTTAAGATTTGGAGTGCTGCCTGTTAACTTTGATTGTTCAATTCTATCATTTCAACAAAGCATTGTTAGAACTTGATATTATTTTACCTTCTGATTTACCAATAGATTGGGAATGGGAAGACTGAAGTTACTGATATTGTTTTTGTTTGTAATGATCAACATTTATATTTTAACAGCAAGTTAAAGCTCTTTCATATTCTTAATCTTACATAAGATGAATTCAAGTACTGTAACATGATTGAAATCCCTAAACTTAGGCTACTTTAAGATGTGATCATTTCAAATGCCATTTTAATTAGCCTTTGTCTATTCAGATTACTCTATATTGCTCTGGTTTTGGTCAAAATAATGATTCATGAAATAGTTAGTTGTTGAAAAGCGTAACTTAACTTTACAGCCTGGTCCCAGCTTTACACTACTATGTTCAATGTTCCTCCAAGTTAGTTATAGGCTGGGAGGCAAAGTAGCAGTGGTGATAGTTTGTCCCCAAGAGAACAGTTGAGCATGTGATGTACGGTCAGGTCCGAAATGGTTGACACCCTTGATAAAGATGAGCAAATAAGACTGTATAAAATTGTATGCAAGATAAATGTGGAAATTATATTATTTAAACTAATACAATTGAAAGATTATTTTGTTAAACAAGTAATATTTATTTTTCTCAAGCTAGGGGAAAAATATATTGGCACCCCTGTTTTTCAATACCTCACCTTGCAAGGATAAGGACACTGAGTCTTTTTCTAAAATGTTTTATGAGATTGGAGAATGCATTGAGAGGGATCTTACAGAATCTTTCCAGATTTTTGATATCCTTCGGTGTGCACTTATGGACTGTCCACTTCAATACAAACCACAGGTTTTCAATGGGATTCAAGTCCGGAGACTGAGATGGCTATTGCAAAATGTTGATTGCAGTAAGATCCACTTGCGGCCAAGATTAAGCCTCCTGGCCGAGGCACCCATGTTTTTGGCTAAAATGTTCTGAAACTGGGTAAAGTTCATGATGCTTTTGACCTTAACAAGGGCCCCTGGACCAGTGGAAGCAAAATAGCCCCATAAACATCCAAAGATCCACCACCATTTTTTACAGTGGGTATAGGGTTCTTTTCTGCATGTGATTCTTTTCGACGCCGAACCCACCACTGGTGTGCATGGCCAGAGAGCTATAATTTTCTAAGATCCCTCCCAAACATTTTAGAAAAATGCTCAGTGAGGTATTGAAAACAGGGGTGCCAATAATTTTGACCCCCTAACTTTTTGTGATTCTTAAACAATCCCTTTACTTTTTTCAATTGTGTTAGTATAAACAAATATGATTTCCCAATTTTTGAAGATACGATATAGCTCAGTGTTTGTATTTATTTTAGTCTTCTTTTTACTAGTCTTTGCTCATCTTTTATCAAGGGTGTCCTAATACTGGACCTGAGTGCCTAGTTAAATTCTGCACAGCCTTGCACAGTTCAGTTTGCTGCCTTAAATTTAAATCTAAAAGGGGTTTAAATTGGGATGTGCCACAGCAAAGGATTTGAAGAACATCTAAGTACAGGAGCAAATATATTCATAAATAATAACAATATGCCATTTAGCAGATGCTTTTATCCAAAGCGACTTACAGTCCGGCGTGCATACATTTTTGTGTATGGGTGGTCCCGGGGATCGAACCCACTACCCTGGCGTTACAAGCGCCGTGCTCTACGGACACAATTTGTTGAATGGGGTACATCTGTTTACAAAAGTGGCGGTTCTCATGATTTAAGAATAACTTCCCGTCTCTGTAAGGTCCCTCAGTTGGATGGTGAATTTACAATAGTTTTGACATCCAATCAGCTTTAAAAACATGAAAGGGATAAAGTGTTTTAATGCGCTGACTGAACGGGGCTGATTTAATTATGAGAGAGTTTTGTTCTCGATTGATTACGAGTCCTCATTGTCTGAGACGGAGTCAAGAAGTTGTAATACTTGAGGGCGGTTTTGAGTACTACAACAATGGATATCATTATGAGGCTGAAAATGTTCAGGCCACAGAGTTCATTGGCTGAGCTGTAAGAACTGTGAATATAGCACAGTTCATGAGATCATACTTTAAATGTAATAAGGGCTACCATGTCTTTCCATTTCAGGTGTGTCGAGACAACCATTGCCAATTGAATATTCTTTCACATTACCTTCAAGTCAACCACACTACCGTTACCACTCATACTCCACATGTTCATATTTGTAGTGGAATCACCAACAGGACATTTACACCAATCAATGACTCCTTAATAAGTAAAGAGGAATGGGAATCTCTGGTCACAGAGCTACAATGGTCATTACCACCTGTTGACCTCTTATCCACAGATGAGGCCACAAACCCCACTAAGTGCTCATTCTCTGTTGTCAACCCCAATTCAAACCACACAGTTGGAGGGTTTATAGATGTGACTTTGATAGCTAGAGATACTAAAAACAGGATCAAAACCTATGGAGGGGACTTTTTTCAGGCCAAGTTGTTTAACGCAGAACTTAAGGCCAGTACTTATGGAGCTGTAACAGACCACTTTAATGGCACCTATACTGCCCGCCTGGCCCTGCTTTGGCCCGGACCTGCCAAGGTGTCCATCCGCCTAGTGCACTCCAGTGAGGCCGTGCAGGTACTGTGTAGGCACAGGGAACAGGACCCAGATAAGGTCTACTTCCTAGGCTACTTTGAGGAGGGTGGCAAGCAGGAAACAACGATGTGCAATGCCCAGAGAAGTCCTAGGCTGGTGGGGAATGACTTGCAGTGTTGCTGTGAGTACAGAGAGCCAGTCACTGGAGAGTCCTGGTTCTGTCGGTGGCCATCTTCCCTGCCCTGCCATGCTTTGACCTACCACAGCATGGGTGGTTACCAGGCAGTACTCTCCAAGTTGGAGACAACTCTTCTTAAGAGGTAGATATGGTTCCATCACTGATCACATTCAGTTTGGATTGTAGTATTAATCAAATAACAAGAGTTCCTTTTTTGCAGATTCAACATTATTCTCCCAGGTGATAATTCAGTTGTACATGTCCAGCAACAGGGCAACAAAACCCGTAAGACCCTACAACATATTCCTCCTTTCCCTCCTGTACTGTAATACCACAATACAGAATACAGCAGTACCTTGCGTTACTGTAATACCACAATACAGAATACAGCAGTACCTTGCGTTACTGTAATACCACTACACAAAATAGTCATACAGCAGTACCTTCATGGGCGGTGTGTTCAATAGGGCGATATGGGCGACGCACTGCCAAACGGGAAAAGGAAGGGATTTTTTTTCTAATCAATTATATCACGGCAACAGTAGTTATCAGTGTTCACGTCTGATCTGCCAGCCACTAAATATCAAATCAGGCTAAAGTCGTGCTTCAAATGGCCCCGCCCGTTTTTGGGGCGATTTCAGTCAAGTTGAAAATCGCCCAGAAGTCTCTCATAGCCTGTCATGTAAAATCTATTTTTTTCAAATTTCAAAGCTTTCAATACATTCTCTATGGGTGTCTGTGGGCATGCACTTACGCGCTTTCGTCATACGTGACGTAACCATGAACGTAACTAAGACAATGGCGGCTAGCAGCGTCTCTGTTCATTGTGACCTGCAGTGTGGCGTTATTTTATGTTTTTAATTTGTAGACTTAGTTTACAAACATTCTGCAAACATTCTGCTTTGAACTGATCTTTCGGTTTTGGACTGATCTTGTTGATCGTGTACATACCCGCTACGAACGGACTAAATAATGAAAACGCTGCAGGCAGCTGTAATCCCAATACAGCTGGGAGACTTGGCTGGATGACAGAGTCCCGGACAGAGAAGTGGAGCCGGCCACCTTCACCCTGGTCAGAGCGGACCGCGATCCTGGTAAGAGAGCGACTCTGTACCCCGACATTGAACTGCTTTCTGTGTCATTGCGACCTTACTATCAATTCAATTCAATTTAAGGGCTTTATTGGCATGGGAAACGTGTGTTAACATTGCCAAAGCAAGGGAAGTAGATAGTAAACAAAAGTGAAATAAACAATAAATATTAACAGTAAACATTACACTCAGAAGTTTCAAAAGAATAAAGACATTTCAAATGTCATATTATGTATATATACAGTGTTGTTACAATGTGCAAATAGTTAAAGTACAAATGGGAAAATAAATAAACATAAATATGGGTTGTATTTACAATGGTGTTTGTTCTTCACTGGTTGCCCTTTTCTTGTGGCAACAGGTCACAAATCTTGCAGCTGTGATGGCACACTGTGGTTTTTCACCCAGTAGATAAGGGAGTTTATCAAAATTGGGTTTGTTTTCGAATTCTTTGTGGATCGCTGTAATCTGAGGGAAATATGTGTCTCTAATATGGTCATACATTTGGCAGGAGGTTAGGAAGTGCAGCTCAGTTTCCACCTCATTTTGTGGGCAGTGTGCACATAGCCTGTCTTCTCTTGAGAGCCAGGTCTGCCTACGGCGGCCTTTCTCAATAGCAAGGCTATGGTCACTGAGTCTGTACATAGTCAAAGCTTTCCTTAAGTTTGGGTCAGTCACAGTGGTCAGGTATTCTGCCACTGTGTACTCTCTGTTTAGGGCCAAATAGCATTCTAGTTTGCTCTGTTTTTTTGTTTGTTCTTTCCAATGTGTCAAGTAATTCTCTTTTTGTTTTCTCATGATTTGGTTGGGTCTAATTGTGTTGTTGTTGTTGTTGTTGTCCTGGGGCTGTGTGGGGTCTGTTTGTGTTTGTGAACAGAGGCCCAGGACAAGCTTACTTAGGGGACTCTTCTCCAAGTTCATCTCTCTGTAGGTGATGGCTTTGTTATGGAAGGTTTGGGAATCGCTTCCTTTTAAGTGGTTACTATCTGCCCCGTGAGTTCCCCCAATTGTTTGTTACCGTTGTGTACTGTTGATAATCACAAGTTTACTGGAGAACTGAGACCAAGTAGAGACTTTGGACAGGGTGGATATGGTATAATAAAGGCAGTTTATTCAGAGGTAAAGATATCTGGAATCGCGTGCACGGACTCGTTCGTGCACGCGAGTAAAGTAAAAGTGTCCTGTCTTAGGTCAGCTAGGATCACCACTCCTTGGCCACCTGCTGACAAGATAGGACTCTTTTGTCCATTGTTATAGGATAGGAACAGAAACAAACGCCCAACACAAAATGGGTCATGCACAAGATTTTAGTCAGACCAAGCTATAACATTATATATTTACTACGACAGTACATTCAACCAAAAGCTAATATAACAAAGGCATCAGAGATTATTTATAATCTGTCACAGAAACTGGAATCCATCTCCCCAGATCAGTCAATAAATGCTTCTGGTATTGACTTATATGCTGCCCCTGTCTTCATGTTGTTGCTGGACATATCTTTTTAAAAATGTGTGTAGGTCACCTAAATCATCAGAAAAATTGCCCCTCCTGAGAATTTTTTCAGGAGCCGCCACTGAGTACCTTGCTTTACTGTAATACCACTACACAGAAGATAGCAATACCTTGCTACCGACATAAGTCACATTCTTTAAACAAGTCCTATCCTTTCATTTGGTTTAAACCTGGCTTGTTATCAACTTGCAAACTGGCGTCATTATTACAACCCAGTGTCGTCTAATGCTAGCGATGCAGATTTTGCTCAGATTATCTAACAATTGTTTTTCTCTCTCTCTAGGATCACAAACAAAATGCCGTCCTGGTTTGCACACCCCAGTACCGTCTGGGTTCTACCTCCAAGATTGCTGGACTTCCCGCAGCTGAACTGGTATCTGGATGCCTGAAGGACAAACAGATCCTTTTGATGGGTGACTCCACTCTCCGTCAATGGTTGGAGTACCTGGAGAAAACTGTGCCAAGTAAGATATAGTCTGTAATCCTTTCAGTGTTAAGATACTTCAGATATGTGGTTATGTATTACTTTGAGTGGCCTCATTGGCTGTACACCGTAAACAAAGAAAGGGTTTGGAAACATTCTTGCAGGTAGTTGCCACCATTTTGTGGGTGTTGGGAAACACCTGAAAATTTATGTTTCAGGCTTGGGTTCAATTCGATTTTACATTTGAAAATTAAATTCTTGAATTAACTCATGAAGTGGAGAATTTACGTGGAATTCAATTTGAATTGCAATAATCAATTGATCATATCAATTGAATTGGAATTAGTTTGTTTCAAAAAATAAAGGGGATTTAATTCCGATGTTCTAATTAAATTATTATGGGCGGATATTTTTGCATTTCCCATTTAATAGAAATTATGGTTGAAGTATCAAAATTGACTGCAGGATTTGTACCCAATGTGATCTTTCTGCAGCACTGAAACGCCTGAACCTTCACACATCAAGCAAATCGGGCCCCTTTGAGGCAGTCGACACCCAGTCCAACACCCGTATCATCTGGCGGGCCCATGGGATACCTATACGGACGAGCAAGACCCCCTGGGCTGACCTCCACTACATCGCCAGGGAGGTGGAGGGTCTGGCAGGGGGTGCACACTCTGTAGTCGTCTTCACCATCTGGGCTCATTTCACCACGTACCCACTGGCTATGTATGCACACCGTCTGGTCGTCATCCGTAGGGCTGTGGCGTCGCTGCTAAGAAGATCTCCCACTACTCTGGTAGTGATCAAATCAGCCAACACGGGCTACAAGGATGTGTACGGGAGCGACTGGCTCTCCTGGCAGCTCGACATGGCTCTAAGGGAAATATTCAGGGGCTTGCCCGTGGTCCTCATTGACGTTTGGCAGATGACCTCCTGCCACTATTCTCCAGATAACATTCACCCGCCGTAGTGATCCAAAATGAAGTGGACCTCTTCCTGTCCTTTGTCTGTCCGCAATGAGAAAAGAGAAGCATTCAAAAGGGATTGTCTGTAAAATCAACTGCATAGAAAATGGCAACCAATACATTAAAAAATATAACCACATCATGAAAACAACAGTCAAATTCTAGGTGCTGTTCAGTGCTCTGATAGCCATTATTGTATATGGTTGGGAAACTCAAGGTGACCAGTGAGACTATTACTACCGTAGATTCTTCCCAATTAATGCCCTCTGGTGTTTGTCAAACTATTGCCTGCTTTCAGCTCTGCCTTGATTCTTCTGTTATACATAAAAGATAGTTAAGCAATGATTCATTTATAGAACTTGTGTACTGTTTTTATACCCCTCCCTATGTGTGAAACTTTGAATACCATAGTCGCATGCCTTTATGGCCCAGTTTCAAAACAATCCCCTAGGTTTTAAGTTAAGACTCGTAAAGCAGAAGCCTATTTCACTTTCTCAAAATCCCCAGAATGAATCTAAGATAACTCTACTAATTTTGACGTTTTTGCCGAGTATGTTTAAGTTGAGCAATTTTACATCTAAAAAGGTGTTTGGTGCAGTATTTCTCAAGTAAAGAAATGCACGACGTGTTGTCTTATGTAAACAAAGTCGGGCTGCTGGGCAGGTCTGACTCACTATTTTATACTATTGGATAGAGGGCAATCACCACAGCTGTTCACCCCATGTTAGTGGGCAAATGTACATAATCAAAACCCAACCTTAATTTACCCTTTGTGACACGTGGATGTTCCAAACTCTGTTTTAGACGAGACTGACTTCATGACAAATTGTCCTATTTACACTTTAGTCCATTTTGACACTAGAGTTTCTGACTCATATCGATGCCACGTAGGCCATTTGCAAAGGGATTCATTGCTTTTTAAAGGCAGACACTCTTTTAAAATTGGGCTTATCACTCAGGTCACACACTGTAATACTCCTGGACAAACTCCTTGCCCTATAGGGAGGATGAAAACCCTGTCAAACTGCAGCACTTGTACATATGAATTATATATTTTAAACTAGGCGAATGGGGGTTTCCATTACAGACAGAGACAACTGCGATTAGACAAGATAATTAACAGTGCTGAGCTTGCTTAATGCTGGGTTGCATCATGTAGCCTATAGATACACCTGGAATTGAAAAGTTACAGGTGTATTAAGTCTAGCTTGTCATCACTTTCTGTTGATTTGATTAGTTCCAGTCAATTTTGGACTTAAAAAAGGCCTAGGTAGCCTAACCAACCAAAGTTTGAATATAAACCAAATTTGATCACATTCACATTTTCTCTTTACACAATTAAATTGGCTTGCATAGGTAGGCTACAGTTGATCAGACCGATAGGCTTACAGCATGTCAGATTGCTAATGTTTAGGTGTAGGCTGCTACAACAATACTTTAAAGAGTTTTTATTTTTCTTGTGTGTGTGGCGGGAGTGAGTTCTTTTCCATCTGCTTTCCATAGACGTGTGCGCCATGCTCGATCTGATTTCTGTGAATCTGATTTGTCAAGACACACACAACATGTAGCACTCTGATGAGGACATAGGCTACTAATTGGGTGTGAGTTGACAAATGATGAGCTTCAAAAAAATGTATTAAAGTGGTGGGGCGGTACCCCACCTAATTGAAAAGTGCTGGGGCAAATTCCTGCTCGCCACACCTTTGCCGTTGGCCCTGGTTCGGTTGTTTTCTTTTAAAAAGAGCAAGATTGGTTATTTATGCTGGGTTATTACCCAGCTAGTCAGATCAGAAGACTGGAGGCGTAGATTACATTTTACAATTACATATTAGTCATTTTAGCAGACGCTCTTATCCAGAGCGACTTACAGTTAGTGAGCGCATATATTTTTCATACTGGCCCCCAGTGGGAATTGAACCCACAACCCTGGCGTTGCAAGCGCCATGCTCTACCAACTGAGCTACAGGAGGCCTGTAGATTAGGCCTGGAGATTAGTAGGGGCTGTATTCTTTGCAACCCGTGAGATTAAATGTAATTCCTGATAATCTATTTTGTTGCATTCTTGTCACGTTATGGTTGAACACTGACAGTTTAAAGCATCATTGAGGCTTAAAGACGTCTTATAGAGTTCCTTAAAAGCGTATGCAAATTCCAACGCTGGGAGGGATATAATCTTAATATTAGTTTTTGTTCAATAACTTTGGCAAATTTTTCAGATGAAAGTACAAACTGATAACACTTGTAATCCCCCTATTTTATGTTCAGTAGATTGGAAAAAGGTGTTATGGACAGACGAATCGAAGGTTGAGGTGTTCGGATCATGAAGAAGAACATTTGTGAGACGCAGATTAAATTAAAAGATGCTGGAGGTGTGCTTGATGCCATCTGTCAAGCATGGTGGAGGCAATGTGATGGTCTGGGGGTGCTTTGGTGGTGGTAAAGTGGGAGATTTGTACAGGGTAAAAGGGATCTTGAAGAAGGAAGGCTATCACTCCATTTTGCAACGCCATGCCATACCCTGTGGACGGCGCTTGATTGGAGCCAATTTCCTCCTATAATAGGACAATGACCCAAAGCACAGCTCCAAACAATGCAATAACTATTTAGGGAAGAAGCAGTCAGCTGGTATTCTGTCTATAATGGAGTGGCCAGCACAGTTACTGGATCTCAACCCTATTGAGCTGTTGTGGGAGCAGCTTGACCGTATAGTACGTAAGATGTGCCCATCAAGCCAATCCAACTTGTGGGAGGTGCTTCAGGAAGCATGGGGTGACATCTCTTCAGATTACCTCATCAAATTGACAACTAGAATGCCAAAGGTCTGCAAGGCTGTAATTGCTGCAAATGGAGGATTCTTTGACGAAAGCAAAGTTTGAAGGACACAATTATTTATCAATTAAAAATCAGTATTTCTAAACTTGTCAATGACTACATTTCCTTTGCATTTTGCTATATTTCCTATTCAAACTCATTTCATGTATGTTTTCATGGAAAACAAGGAAATGTCAGTGACTCCAAACTTTTGAACGGTGCTGTGTATGTGTGTGTGTGTGTGTGTGTGTGTGTATATATATAACACACTACCGGTCAAAAGTTTTAGAACACCTACTCATTCAAGGGTTTTAATTTATTTTGACTATTTTCTACATTGTAGAATAATAGTGAAGACATCAAAATTATGAAATAACACATGGAATCACGTAGTAACCAAAAAAGTGTTAAACAAACCAAAACATATTTTATATTTGAGATTCTTCAAAAAGCCAACCTTTGCCTTAATGACAGCTTTGCACGCCCTTGGCGTTCTCTCAACCAGCTTCACCTGGAATGCTTTTCCAACAGTCTTGAAGGAGTTCCAAACTTTTGACTGGTACTGTATTTGCATTCAGTATTTGTTTATTTGAAAGCAGGTTATGGACAAAGAGAGATTGTGTATGTTTAATTAGCCACAATGTTTTTTTTTACACACACACACACATATTCAATAAAGAATTCAATGATCCAATGTCAATATGTTTTATGGTAGTTATATATCAATGGGCATTCAGCCTCAGAAGTTTAGTTAATATGTACTAGACATCTTACAGTTTGTCCTTCCAGCAACACTGCGTGTCTATCAACGTTTCTGGGTATGTGAAATGCTTTATAAGGTTTTCATTAATGTTTTATCTACTTTGTCAATATCATTGGATCTGTGGTGAGGGATAGTTTTAAAAAATGAAGTTTTTCTTTTTTTACAGTATGTTGAATGTTCGTATGAAAGGATTTAGGGTTGGTTTGCCATCAGTGCACTGTGTTTTACCCCCCTATTTTGCTGCTTATGTGACAAATATAGTGAGCAACAGTAATCACACGTCTGGTACAGCATAATTCATGTTTATATGCCATATATAGTGGTCCAATAATAAATACTTATAGTATTTCTGGAACAGGAGATTGATTTTATTGAGTGGTAGTGTCACAAAGTGAAAAGAGACAGGTTCTAGGTCTTGGTTGAGCAGGCATCTTGAAGCAGACAACCAAAGGGACAGTTCAACATTTATTTTGTAAGGCATGGTTCCCTTTGTTGGTCACCTGGTGTAACATACTATGTGCAGTTAACGACCTGAAGAAAACTCAAAACACGCCCAACGGGCCAATGAATGCAGAGCCTGCTCTCGGAAGTCCCGCTTTCCTGGTTATATTTTTCTCAATTCTTTGCTTTTCAGCTGGCCTGAAGGACAAAGTGTCAAGCAATTTACAAACTTTTCAAGCACACTAAGACTACTTGATTCAGCTCCAGCTTAGGTGTCTGTTAGTGGGGAGCGAGTACTCGTGTCCCTAGATGTTGGGAGTTTTGGGTATTTTTATTGGTGTTTGTGTTTACTAAAAGCTAACTACTTTCTGCTCTGCTTGTGTAGCTAATGCTTCCTTGCTTGGGTAGGATTTGTGTTTGCTAAAAGCCTACCACTTCTGCTCTGCTTGTATAGCCAGTGCTTCCTTGCTTGAGTAAGATGGCCAGTGGTAAGAGTAAGTTCAAAAAGGCTAACCAGACGGATATGAACCTCCGACTGTGCTCTAGGGCATTTTCACAATGAAAATTAAAGATACTCAGAAGTGCTGTCTTGTTTGCCTGGGGTGGAAAAATGCTCAGGCTGCCTTGGCTCGGACCAGTTTGTGTGACCGGTGTCACCGGCTGAGTTCACTCTTTTGTACACTGACTTCCTACTCATTCAAGGACTTTTATTTATTTTTTACTATGTTCTACATTGTAGAATAATAGTGAAGACATCAAAACTATGAAATAACACATATGGAATCATGTAGTAGCCAAAAAAGTGTTAAACAAATCAAAATATATTTGATGCATTCTCTCAACCAGCTTCATGAGGTAGTCACCTGGAATGCATTTCAATTAACAGGTGTGCCTTGTTAAAAGTTAATTTATGGAATTTCTTTCCTTCTTAATGCGTTTGAGCCAATCAGTTGTGTTGTGACAAGGTAGGGGGGGTATACAAACGATAAC